TCTAGAGATGTACAATAAATAAACGTGTACACTGCCCCTTGGCTGAAACTAATCATTAATAATATTGCAGCCAGAAATAAAAAAAAAAAAAAAAAAAACACGGCCGTACACACAAAGTGCTGTAGTTCCATGTTTTTAATATAACTCACATTAGTTTGTGTCGTGCTCATACTCCGAGTTATAAAATACGCACATTTAACGACAAAAAGATCTGGTCACTCGCTTATGAAAAGCTTTATGAAAGACCGTTAATCCACTAATGTCTCGGTAAGACAAGTCCCCAACTGATCAATTGGCAATCGCCATATATGGTACACGTGACCGACAATTTTTTGTTCAATGCTCGTATTATTATTGACTCGTACCTTACCCCGTCTCGCATTGTACTGCACGATACAAATTGTTTATATGGCATTTGACTGTGCTCTACGAGTATCATAAATTTTGTCTACGAAAAGTCTGATACGCAATGTATCGTCTATTTAGTTCTTTGTTAAATATTCTTTACATCGCTTGTACGGCTTCCTCTATTTATCCGGTACGTGTGCACTCGATGGAGCAAATTAAATATAATAAAAACATCACAAAATGTAGATTTGACACGTATATTATTCAATATATTATTATCATAGTAACTCGTTATCCGTATGTATAACGCATTTGCCTTGCGCCCTTGTTTTCTGAAAATGCACGGGAAGTGTTTATGTGATAACATTTTCTTGGTTGTGATTCTGCATTTTATTGCACGCCTTCGGCAAAAGCAGATGTTTGCCATCAAAAAGTATCAGCTAGTGTGAGATAACCAGTAATTCTATAAATAGAGGCAGATGAACTTGTAACTCACCAATAAGTGTTTCATTTGAAAAGTTTATCACTACGTTAGATTCATAGTTTGAAGGCTGTACAATAGATGGGTTGGCAGCAGCAGGACCAGTCGGTAGAATTTTCATAACAACTGTTCTATGAGAGTACCAATGACCTGACCACGACTTCCAGTGTATTCCATCCGCATAATCAGCTGTGTAATCTCCGTTGCCATAGAAATATCCATTCAGGTTTGCAGTGTGACCATTAGAAAACCACATGGAATACCACCAACCACCAGAATACCTATTGCCGTAATCAGCGTTGATGACGTCATCGTTATCTTGGTCGAAAGTAGAAAACTGTGTACCGTTATTAATGCTCATAGAATCACCAGCAGGTCCACCTACGAATGATTTCAACCACAGTCGGTATCGATTGAATGAATCCTGAATGCGGAAACCACTGTAAATTGCATAGCCATTATTTGCCTTCCAGTCAGTCAAGTCAACCCGCAGTTCATATTCTCTACCATTTCCATTTGTTAGAAAGAATATGTTGTCATTTCCCAACCAATATTCCCCATTGATGTCACCAAACCCGTCAGCGTAATCTAAGAACGAACGGTCAAAGTCTACTACTCCATTCATGCGTCGTTGTATTATAGTCCAACCATTACCGTTTTTCATTTCGCAGTCAACTTGAAATGGTCTTGTAGATCCCTGTGGCCAGATTGTGTATACACCATTGGTCGTCTGGCCCGAGTCGTATACATCTTGACAGTCTGTTAAACCAAACAATGAGATAGAAAAATAAAAACTATTTTATTTGTTGGCGAAACGTGTATTTGTGTTGTCTTATTTGCGATGTTTATTTGCGAGAATTATTTTATTTAGTTCGACTCTCCCTGCGTTACGTGTACAGACAATAAACAAACGTAAATTAATATACAATATACAATTTCTTTTAAAAACTGTAAATATATAATTAGAAAAATCTAAAACTAAACTCACCGTAATATCGTTCTTCTTCTGCCAAAGTACGAATATATGGTTTGATGAGAAGTAGTAACAAAAACGTAAATTGTAAGCCCATTATTCTGTAGTTGAATTCTTGCTGAATACATCATGTATGTGCGGCAGTTGTATTTATTAGCTCAGATTGGTATATGTGATTCAATGTCGCATGGTCCAGATGTTCAATAAATCATGATATCTTGTTATTTTTGAAAAATAGGACATTAGTTGTCACGATTGTTATACACCGCAACTCTTGTCACGACTTGCATAGCAACGTTGTCATGCATGAAGTTCAACCTCTGAGAATATGAATGAGTTATATTTGAAACGTTCTTAGAACTGTCCCATTCACCTGATCTTGGAATTGATGCATTTGCCATGAGCGATAATTCGGACTACTCTTAAATAATATACGTATGATTGCATGACAGTTGTTTTTATTTCAAAACACTGCTGTTCTACTGTTCCCATGGGAAATAATTAGCTGTTGGCACGATATTATGATTTGTATCATGACTAATGACTGAGGAAGATTCACGACTAGATATTCTGATATTCCCCATTGATTTACGCATGACCCCCCCCCCCCCATTGCTTGTTTATTCTAAACGGTCACGAACCTGAACGATGCAGTGCAAAATAAATGCAGGCACATTCCAACATATATTGGTTTTTGTGCGTGTTTTCTGTCATTAGCATTTCAATCTAATTTCGTTAACTGGAATCACTGTAATTGTGTTCAGCGACGACAGTGACTTGTGGTGACATAGTTGTCTCGATTGCCTGGTATAAGTTTCTTATTTATGTTGATTTATGCTCTGGCCAGTGATACGTTCTCTAAAGTTATTGGGTCGCACGTTGTAT